TAAGCTGTAAAAACTTCCGTTTACAATGCCTTAGCCCTATCACTTAAGAAGCTCTCCACGTCTTCTTCAAGTGTAGATGTCTTCCTGGATGCACTTCCGGCTTCCCTAAGACTGGTCCTTTCACTGAGCTTTCCCAGAAGTATCACCACTTCACAGCTCTAGGTACTTGGACGTCCTTCTTGTGAAAGAAGAGGTTCTATTTAGAACAGGGGTTCCTCCAACTTGCTTCGTTACAAAGAGTTTGTATGTGATGAGCTTGAAGAGTTGAAGAACACTTGGAACTTTGCTTGAGTTGGAAATAAGGATTTTTCCAACTTCTGCCTTCTTTTGTAGAGGATTATGAAGTGTTAATCTCAAGGAGGCTTTTTGCTTTTTAGCGTTTGAATTTCTTGTATGCAGAGTTGTAGCAAAGGTTAGCAAAATTGCAAAGTTATCCGGTTGTTCTTCGTAGTGTATCTTTTATACTGAGGTTGTCTTCCCGTTGGAGGAGAAGGAGGACAACTGCATTAAATGAGCGAGCAGTTGACTTGACCAGTAGGACCCGTTAAGTTGGCGGGTTACTATTTTGGGATAAAGTAATCCTGACATTCCGGTCAATCATATGCAATTACTCTACGGAGCATGGGGAGCATTAAATGTGCATTTAATGTGTGCACTGTAGCGTTTCCGTTCAAGTCTCCTAGCCGTTGAAGGAATCTTCCAGTTGTTTTCCCGGTTTTGTGGAATTCTTCCAAGTGTCAGGCCTTCTGGTGTATTTAATAGAGAGTTGATCAGAGAAGGTCTGGAGCACTTCTGTTGAGAGTGTATCCAACATAGAACCAGGAGGGTTTCTGTCAGAGTAAAGGCTAACAGAGACCCTGAGGTCTTCTGTTCTGAAGCAGAGACCCAAAGGTCCTCTGTTCAATCTAATGCCTTAAAAGGGTCTTCTGCCCTTGGAGCCCTTCTGCTTTGAAGGTCTTCTGCTCTGGAGGCTTTCTGCTAAGTCGATTAAACTAAGAACTTTACAAATGAAAATTCTAATACATTAAGGTTAAAGAGGGGTACTCTAAAGTCCTAATAAATCTAGCATCATCAAAATCTAATTACAAATATTCCTTACAGTGTTAAATTCTACAGCTACAAAGTTCAGCGCACAGACTCGAGTGAATTTGTCTGCCAAGAGAATGACTTCATCATGATGAAAATGGATGACATCTACCAGATGTTCATGGCATGAAGACATCTTCCAATAAGTCAAACAGAGTCTGCAAAGAAGGATTTGATGCTATTAAAAGATTCATGCTGAGGCAGGTAAGATTCTACACTACTCACGATTTGCAAATGGCCCTCTAGAACAATGCTCGAAAGGAAAATCTCATAAGGCCAATTCTACATGGAGAAGAGCTAGAAGACTATCAACCTTACCAAATTTTTAAGGATCCGCTCTCAATCATATATCTCAATCATAAAGACCAAAAGCACCTGTTGTGGGTAGAAGACATTCACAAATATTGTGACGGAACGTTGTAAGTCATTCAAAAGAAGTTGTTGCCTCTCAAAGAAGATCTTGAGCGAAGACTTGTTGATGCTACTGATGAAAAGCTGGAAGAGTTCGACAATTTGGAGACAATCCTGAAGCCCATCATCAAACAACTTGATAAGAGAAGATCATTGAGACAGTATGAGCATGCGCTAAATATAAGAAAACATTACTTCAAAGCTCAGAGATAAAACAAGACGGCACTTGATCACAAAGGGGGAGATTGTTAGAGACTGTTTTATTATGTATCAAGTTTGTCATAAGTCTTGTAATAGCTTAGCCTTTATTATACCTTGTGCATTTATACTTTGTATTTATTAGGGTATAAAGGATATGGGGCCCAAGTGTCTAGCCCATATACCTGGCGTAAAGCCTGTACGCAAACCTACCTGCGCATATAAATAGGCGCTTAAGAATTAGGTTTGCGTCAACTTTTGCATTCGATCTATTAGCCTTAGCGCTCATCATTCTGCTGTAAAGGTTCGCGATATATCGAAGAAGGGTTTAAAGGATCTTCAGTGTATTCATCTTTCTGTTATTCTCATCTTTGTTATATCAATATATTGTTGTAATCTATAAACAGGGACTATCAGATATCATGTATCGATTCATGTTAGCCAACCCCAATATCTTTTGGGACTAAGGCTGTGATGTTGTTGTTTTGTTGTTGTATGATTTAATTACTTCAATAATAGTTAATCTCTATAATAGTCAATAATAATTCATTTATACTTAATTGGTACGTTTTCATTTGTCAATTTACTTGTTAAATTGTGTAATTGGTCCTGCATTATTCATTCATTTAATATTTAAATTTTAAATTCGTTCTATTTTTTTCGTCAAACGAAATATATATTAATTCAAAAGATCGTTAGCCAATTGGCTAAAAATACAATCTGGAATAGACTCAAAAATAACTCGTTGCTCTGGTGTAGACACATGTGCTCTAGCTAAAGCATGAGCCACATGATTCGCAGACCTTTTACGAAAGATATAGAGATATTACTCTTTGACTCTAGAAAATCCTTAGTATCATCAATAACCATATATAAGTAGGATCCACCATTCTTCCGCTTTAATCCTCGGACTACCGTGAGCGCGTCTGTCTCAATCAGCACATTATTCCATCCCGCTTCAATAGCCCCCTAAATAGCATCCCAGATCCCAAACGTTTCTGTCTCCTCAGTCGTCCACTCAGCCCGGTGTGAAACACTTTGTGCCCGAATAACTCTCCTTGATCATCCCTTGCAACCCAAACCCATGCTATAATGCCTCAGGCCTGATTTACTGCCCCATGAACATTAATTTTCACACTCCCCATTTCCGGTCTCCTCCATCTCGTCTCGACGGTACCCCCCACTGTACATGCTGCGGTCACCCCGCCACCCGTCGAAGCTGCTCCACTCACCGCTCTCCTCGCTTGCGCTTCCCTCCAATTAATCATCATGCTTGTCGTCATGTGCACAACATCGGAAGCTTCTCAGTTTTTTTCCTCCCATACCACCTTGTTCCTTCATTTCCAGATGCACCATCGGAGCGACAAAAATTATCTCTTTCTTCTTTAGCCTGTTGCGTCAAATGTTTCCGCAGCCACTTCTCAATCGGGAGCTGCTGGCTCTCGGTCATAACTGCATATAGCTGCCACACCGCCTTCACGCGGGGGTAAGTCCGCATCGCGTGATCAAGGGATTCCTCCATGGTACCACAAACCTTGCACCCTCCTTGAATATTAATACCATTCTTCCTCATATTATCTGACTCCACCTCTCCCATGTCCCATTTAGCTGATCACCCATCAGTTTTCTGTAACAACTCTTAACAGAAAAATTCCTATTGCGTTCATCTGTCCACCAAAACTCATCTTTCCTGTTCTGTACACTAGTAGGAACACTCAAAATTAACTCTCTATCAGCCGCATTAAATAATTAGTTAATTCTTTCCCGATTCCAGCTCTTCCCGGTATAATCTCGCAAAGCAGCTACATTCATATCCCTCACCCCCATTGGCTTGCCTGATGTAATTCTTCCTGACCCCGGGTCTAGTAGCCAAGCATCCGCCCAAACCTATACGTCAATTCCATTCCCCACACGCCTGCGAATATTATATCTCAAGATACTTTGAATCTCAAATATACTCCTCCATATAAATGAAGGATTATTACCCACCTTAGCATCAAGAAAAGAAGAATTGGGAAAATGTTTAGCCTTGAGTATGCGGCTCATCAAACTCTGACTCTCCGATATCAGTCGCCGCCCCTTGTTTAGCCAACATAGCTAAATTAAATTCCCGAATTTTCCTAAATCCCAGCCCCCGGCCTCCTTCGGCTAGCACATAGCATCCCATCTCCTCCACTTTAATCCTTTATGCTCAAATTCGGCTCATCTCCACTTAAATCTATTCATTAATTTTTCAATCTCATCACATAAATCTTTTGGAAGCACAAACATATTCATAGCATAATTAGGCATAGCCTGAATAACATTTTCTCAGCAATACTACTCGTCCAACTCTAGAAAGAAAACGGTTATTCCAACTTTTAATTCTGTTAAGTACGTGATCCCTCAAATGCCCCATTACTTTGGATTTATTCTCCTCACCCGTGCGACAGCCCTAAATAAAGGCTTTGACCGCTATCTCTTGGTATACCAAATCGCCGACAGCAATGCTCTCTGAATGGCTCCCCCACACTTGGGCTGAAAGCCAGAGAGGACTTATTAAAATTCACCATCTGCTCATAATTCTTCTCATGGACTTGCAAAATACTTTTTACTTCTACACACTCACTGTCAGGTGCTTTTAAATTCGTTCTATTAATAATGATTTAATTATCCAAAAATTTTACATTCAATTAGTTTATAGATAATAATCCACTTTATTTATTAAATTTATAAAATATGAACTATAGTTTATTTATTCTTATTCAATTATACCATTCAAAAAAACAATCAATTATACTCAATCTGTAGTTAACCCATAACTATAATCTTTTTCCATTATTCTAATTAATCTTATTACTTCGTCCCAATCAGTGTATTTTATTTAATTTCGTTTATAAATAATTTATTTTTAAGTTATTTCACCAAATCCTTTTATTATAATTTATTCAATCTAATTAACTGATTTAACTAGTCCAATTATATTCACATGTTTATTAATCACCCCATATTATTATAATCCATATACAACAGTCCAGATTAAGTCATCCAATTTTAATTTAATAAAAGTCTAATTATAATAGTCAATTTATTCTACTTTAATTAAAAAGACAAGTTAACTAAAAGTGATAAATTTGAAAGTGAAAATCTAGAAGTGCACAACATAACTCAATATATGTCTAATATCAATATTTCTATATTCCATTGTATTATAATTATTTTCTTTATCACAATTTGATAATTATTATCTTTATTATTATTGTTATTATTAGCCCAGTTCATTACTATGATTCTCAGCCTAAAGCAAATCCTATACAAAACAATAATTTTGGGAAATAATAGCTTACCCTATCGGGTGCCTTGACGTTATATTTATACTAAAATCAGTTTGGGAAATTACACAGTAATCCTTATATAATTACATTATTACACCTCATCAATCTGTACAGGGGATACAACTTACAGATTGGAACGTAAAAACTCAAAACGCTGACTAGACAAATTTTTGGTAAAGATGTCAGCTAACTGCGGGTGGGTAGGAATGTACTTCACGACAAGATCTCCATGAGCCACCTCTCTTGAACAAGCAATGAAACTGCGGCCAAGCAATGAAATGAAAGAAAATAAAACTCAGAAGTCACAGAGCACGTACTTCTTCTTCGTCTATCAACCGAACCGGAAACAGGGGAGCTGCGGTTGTACTTCTTGGACGGTCTTCCACTCCCGTTCGGCGGCGAGCCGTTCAATCGGAGAAGGATCCCGGCAGCAAGGAGTGTTCGACCGGCAACTAATACTCTGTATTGACATATATATCCATACAGGTCTGGGCATTATTCCTAGTTACTAACTCAGATCGTTGCTTTTCGTTTGGGTTCTCAATTTAGTTTTTACACATTTGTCTGTTCATTTCATTTTTGGCAGCATTACTATTGTGTGTTAATACTTAATAAGTGAAATTGACAAGAATAATCTCTACTTTTAATCATTATACAATAATAATTCTTGTCGAATGTATTCTTTGGTGTGTGATTTCAATAGTTTTAGTGTGCACATGAGTCAAGTTTATAATTGTAGAAATTTAATGTTACTTTGTGTGTCTACTCTTTTCATCAAACTTCATTTTTGTGAGTTGACTAAGGGTGGTTGCATGATTAATTAGATTTTTTTTGAAGTTTAGGCATAATTTGCATACGCAGTTACCCTTGTGGTTAAGATGAAGAAGCCACTTGAAACTTGTGTGTGATGTCAATTTCCCTTCATGATAAGTCATTTAGGAAAAGTCATTTTGAGTCCGACCTTTATAATATACTTTTCAAGATTGATCAAAGTGGCTGGTTGGAAAAGCAAATCTTTGTCTCATGATGATCGTATTACTCTCATAAAATATGTTTTAACCACCCTCACTGTCTACCATATGGCTAGTGTTGTTGTCTCCAAAAACTACACTAAGGTTGTTGATTGTGACAAATTGCAGTCATATCGTGTGCTTAAAGGTGAGGAAAGACTGGGATGGAAGGCACTATCAAATTACCTGACATTTAAAGAAAAGTTTCGGTTTTTGTTATATTGAAAAACCATGTAATAAAGCGGCAAAATATGTTGTGATAAACTTTAACTTCTTTGATAGCAATCATGTCATTTATAGTAAGTTCTTCAGTATTGTTAGTTGGATGAAATTAGTTGTTTGTACGTCGTTTAAATCGGTGAGTTTTGGTATTGTCTCCCTACCTGTATTTTTTATTTTCATCTAATAAGAAGTAAGGTGTCCCCCAAGCCCCCGACCCTTACGGCCTTACCCCACCCTAAGGTGGATTAACAATGAGATTTAAAAAAAAAAACTTGTGACATTGCTTACTTTTTCTTTGCATTATCTTTGAACATATCACTGCTGGATTGGAGTCATATTTGCTTACAGTTTGGAGACCTACATTTGCCTATAAATTGAAAGTACAAATTCAGCTGAAAAAATGCCCAAGAAAATAGAGTGCAGAATATACAAATCAAACAGCATGCACTGATGTCCCTTAATAATATTGTGGACACCAGCTCGGGTTGGGTTTACAGGCTGAACAGCCTTCTTATCATGTGAATATCTGTTCTACAAAATGGACATGTCTTGGCTTCTCCTTCACTAATCCTGCTCACACGAGTTAATAACAACGCGATCAGAAACCCTTGGATCATTGTAAATTTGGTCCATAGTTCATAGTATATCTGAATTATCAAGATTCTACATTCATTTCCAAAAGGCGATTTTAAAACTTGACATTCCATTCAAATAAAATGTTTGATTAGAGTAGTATCTCTAAATCTTGTATACTTGTTGGATGCATAGACTCATTAATAAATGGTTGAAAAAACAGACATTTTTTACTTAGACTTATTACATCTGAGACCAGGCTAGTTCATACCAGATCAGATAGATCATGTTAAACAAGATTCAGACAGTTATAAAATACACAATCGTCAGCATTTACTAGATCAGACCATATCAGGAACAAGTGAAGAATATAACATATTCCTTAATTAATTAATAAGTACATGGCCGTCTAATGAATTCGGAGACCCCGATTCTAAGTGTAAAATCGAGGCCCCACATGAATATAAAAATGTAAATAAATCTCAATCCAAATACTTATACTTAAATCTATCGAATACTCATTAAATAATGTCATCAAAAAATTTCTAAAACTTACTTAATACTCGATTTAAAGCGACCCAACTCATTATTCAAGCAATTTGAGTTAAAGAAAACTAAAATGACCAACGAAAAAATCATGAATCTATATTTTTCTTCTTTTTTTTGTGTGAGGCTATATTTTTCTTCTTTATTAATTGTATTTTATTGATTAGTATTAATATACGTTGTATAATATATTATATAATACTAATAAATTTTTAAAAATTTGGGGCATCATAAATTATGGTAAGCTTTCTGAATAATCTATAGCAATTGCCCAATATAGGAGTAAAAATAAACATAATTGCACAAAAAGGAGTAAAACTTAAAACTTCCTTCAATAGGAGTAAACATTAATTTTGTACCCTTAATATCCCTAACCTAGTTAATTCTAAAATATGACTTATTTAATCTTAACCTAGTTAATTTATGACTTATTCGATAATAATAATTTATTTATTTATTTATTTTTCAAAAAAATAAAAAAATAAAATTTCTTTTTAAAAAAACTCAAAAAAATAAAATAAAATTCACCGCCGCCTCTGCCGCCTCTGCACCACCACCTCCAGTCACTGAGGAAAAAAATGCCAAGTTCATCATGAATGCCATATTTATGGCAGAAAATAATGAAAATGTTGGCATTCGCAAAGAGAAATATGTCATGTTTTTGGCATTTTCAGAAAAAATGGCAGTTTTTAGGAAAAATTGAATTTTTTTCACCGCCCGGAGGTGGTGGTGCAGGAAGGTTTTACAGGCGGTGGGAAAGACATCCAAATTTTTTTAAATTTTTTTATGGAGTTTTACTATTTTTTATTAATTTTTTAAAAAACTAAAAAACTTTAAAAAATATTTTTTAAAAATTTTTATTTTATTAATATTTTATAAATTTTTTAATTATTTTTCTACGAATTTTTGATTTTTTTTCGAATTTATTATGAATTAAACATTTAATTAAAAGTTGTTGGGACTTAGGGCCTGAGTATGGATATACTTGTCCAAACAATAAAGTTACTGTTATTCAAAACATGATACTCCTATTTTTGTATTTTGGCTATGTTTTGCTCCTATTCGAGGAATTCTCAAACTCCTGCACCGAATATGGAGTAAAAGTCAAGTGCCAGAAGGGGGCATACCTCTTGGAACATTCATAACAAGAAGCAAAGTGACCGCATGGGACAAAAAAACAGCACCGGTTATGGTCATAGCAAATGGCACATATCTTTCCGCCGTAAAACTCTTCTCCGCCTTCCCCGGATGAATTGCTCCGGCTGCAGTTGCCGGACTCTTCATCTTCTTCCCCACAAGCTCCGTAAAGGATTGGAATCGCCGCCTTCGGCAGCAGCCGGCTACTCTCCGTTGAACCTCCTTCTCCTCCCTCACAATCTAAGTAGCCAATCAATTTCAGCACCAATGCGGCCATCATCAACAGTATCACTGAAAACTCACCCAAAAGTGAAAAACCACCGTTAATTTTCAAACACAAATAGAAGCGGGAATATTAAGGAGGGAAATTGCTATAAATAGGAGTAAACATGTTTGTGTATTCCAAAATAAAACTATCGTGTTTTTAACAATATACTAACATGTTTTTGCACAAACTTGATAATAATTTTTCAACGTTTTTACTCCTATTTCGGGAATTCTCCTAAAAATAAAACCCAACATCGGAGTGATATACTGACCAAGAACACAAGTATAAACAAACACACAAATAGCGAATCCATATGGAACTGTTTCGTCGTCCTGTAAAACATAATCATGTCATCATTATTAGTTTGCTTGAACGAGCCACCATCTCGATAAGAAATAGAGGAAACTACTTTGATCTTCATTACCTTTAGCTTAAAAGAACCAAGTGAGAACGCCATTTTGTAACGCCGTTCGGAGGTGAATATGTGATCGTATTATTTTACTTCAGAGCTGCGACTTTGACTGAAAAAAAATAAAGAAAGAAGTGCATTTTAAAATGCCCTCCATTACCAAAGGGAAGAGGGAGATTTCATGGCAATTTAATAAACGTGTATAGAAGGTCAACCACTGCACTACTCCGTGTAATGTGAGAATAATTTATGGAGAATTGAATAGGAGAGATGATTCTGATTCCTAAAGGCAATGGCCATGAGAAATCGCAGTATCGGATTCTGACTAATTTATTAAGAAATAAAATTATATCAGGTTCACTTAAAATATGACCATACTAAATTTAATGCGAAAAAACGTTAACTTAAAAAATGGGGAAATAAGAGTAGAAACAATGTAAAATTTCAAAATACTTTGCTTCTTTTTTCTCTCTTTAGATGGGAACAACTTATTGTCACGTTTTGGTTCTTTTGTAAAAATGATCACATTTTTTCAAATTGGCTTTAATTTAGTACTCCCTAATATTCAAGAAAAAAACACTTTTCTCCCATGCAACTACGTTTTTTTTTTTGTTTTTTTGGGTTTTTGTTTTGTTTTTTAGCAGCTAAGTTATTTGTTCATATGATATTTTTAGTTAGAAGAAAATACAGAGGAATTACAGAATGACTTTGTTCTCCCCTCTCAACGGAGGATTTACCTTTTTCGCTTATAGTCTAGTTCTTATCAAAATGTATCAAAATAATTAATTTTATACTACCTTTGTCCCTTAAAACTTTGTCAAAGTTGACCGGCACGGAGAATAATAAAGTAAAAACTGTGTGGTTGAGGTTTGTGCAGAGAGAAAAGAGAAATAACAGAAACCACAAAAAGTTTGATTAAAAGGGAAAGTGACAAAGTTTTTTGGGACGTCCAAAAAAGGAAAGATGACAAAGTTTTAAGGGACGGAGGTAGTATGACCTTATTACTATTGCATATGTAATTTTATGTGGAAGGTTACAACAATTTTGAGCATGTTTGGTGATTTAGTCAATTCAGACACAATTTCGAAAACTTCAGCAGAATTAACCGATTTAGCCAATTTCAATGTTATGAAACGGACTGTTATTTAATTTAATATTTTTTGTGAAATTAGACCACAATTGAAAAAGTCATAACAATTTGAAAGAAATGCATTGACATAGGGAGTTGTGAACAAAATGGTTCTCCAAGAGGACCAAAATATGCAGGTTTTTTTTTCAATTTGACTTTACTACATTGAGGAAAGAATTCTAGACTCATGTTCCCGCATTTGGGTTATAAAGTACAAACCCTTCTTGCCAGGTGAGACATTTTAGTACCAATCTTTAGCATGTTCACAGGATAGAACTCTATGCTCAGTGTTCCCCCATTTAGGTTACAATTAATCTTCAAACCCATATCAACATGTTTATCGTTGAACTCTTATTTCCAAAGTGGTTAAAACACTTTAGGAAAATAATAATTACGGGCATGGTTAATACAATCTAGAATATTAAATTAAAATATTCTATATAACTATTCTTTCATCACTACAAAAATTTAACTTTAAAACATTTTTAATGCCAATAAATGTCCAATGTGAAAAATGCAAAACAAATCGTTTCCCATCTTGCTCAACACTTCCCATGGTCCGGCCTTGAAGGCTGAAGTCACTAGCATCAAAATATTTGCCTACCATTATTAATACGATGTATCTTCTCTACAATCTTATAAGAGTGAATATCGTTAAGGGTATAATGGTCATAAAAAATGTGTTGGTGTCTCTTGTTGCATAAAGTCATTGAACATCATGTATACATTTTTGTACTTTTAAACTGCTTGCGTTTAACTGAAAGTATCTTTCTTTCCTCGTTCAGATAACTAAGCCTTTCTTGACTTATTAGGTGATCCAAATGGGGATAATAATTTTTCCACTATACAAACTAACATACATTTTGATTTTGATTTAGTAGGTGATAACCTTGACATAAAACACTTGGATTCTCTTGTGATGTTGCATTGGCAACAACAAATTGAATTTATTATGTTAGTGATGTGCATATTATCTTTAACAAATCTTACTCATTGCAAACTCTTTGTCTTTTTCCCTTTCCTTTTTCCGTGAGCGAATTATATTTATAATTTACATATGTACATAGCAAATAGATAACTTGTGCAAATGATTTGAACAATAAATCACATTGTGCATTTACTTAATCGCGCATCTCGCGTGATAAAAATTAGTATATCTTTATACTCTAGTACATATCCTGCCGAGTGCTCACCAGTTTGATTGTTAATTTATTTTGTTAGTTAATAGAAGCTTAGAGCTAATGTATCATTTAAAATAGCTTGAGGCATCCTCAATAATGTTAAATTTCTGACATAATTGAACAGTTGAACTTTAGATTTAATACTCCATAGTACTAATTAATGAAAAACGTGAACCGTTAAATTAATTTTGGGGAAAACGAAATAACTAAGTTGATTCATAATATTGGAAAATACATATAATTTTGGGGATAGTAGTAACGCACTTATATTTCGCAAATTATACCGTACACCCGGATGTACGGTCTGTCCTCAACGTACATCCGGGTATTTTTTCAATTAATTACAAGAAAAAATTTCACTTTTAGTCTCATGACTATTATACCATTTCCACATTTAGTCCCTTACTTTCGGATTGTCCACATTTAGTCTGTGACCATTATCCCCTCACCGCCCCTCGTCCTTCCGGCCAAAATTCCAGCAAATTTAATGCAGATTTTAGGTATGAAAAACCAAATTTAATGCAAAGCCCGATATGAAAAACCCAACCTTATATAAAATTTAATACAAAGACTGATTTTGAGGCTGATAAGTGGACTAAATTTGTCGGAATTTTTGCCGGAAGGACGAGGGGTGGTGAGGGGATAATGGTCACGGACTAAATGTGGACAATCTGAAAGTAAGGGACTAAATGTGGAAGTAGTATAATAGTCATGGGACCAAAAGTGTAATTTTTTTTAATTACAACTCCAATGGGAAAGGTCTTCCCTGTTGTGCTTCTCGTTGATGTCCTGGGAGTTGGAGGCGTCGATCGATGGTGCTCGCTTGCTCAAGTCTTGGAGTTCCGATGGATGCTGCTCGCCCGCTGCTCTCCTGGAGTTCCGCTGAAGGAATAATAGAAAGAACACCAAAAGAACTCCCACTGGAGTTCTGGGAGTTGTCTACGCTGCTCAAAGTCTTGAATTGCGCTCCGTATTTTAGTTATGAAATCCCAAAAGACAAATTACAACTTCTAATTTAATATTGTAATATTATATTTTAACATTGTGTCTTAATATTTTACAACTTCTCATTTCGTAATTTATGTGTGCTCATTTGAAATTGGTGTAATACTCATTTTAAAATGACATATTCATGCATCTCTCAAACATATTATACTACATTAGATTCACATTAAAAATGAGTTTTATGTTAAATTCAAATGAGTATAACGTCCAAAATGAATGAGCACACTAAAATGCGTTTTTAAATTTTTTGATACTCATTTCGTAAGTTATGTATGCTCATTTGGTAGTAATGGTATGCTCATTTTAAAATGTCATATCAATTATGCATATTTTAACATTATTATACTACATTAAATTCGCAGAAGCTCAATAAAATAGGTCAGATTCTCATTTAAAGTACATTATTGCTCATTTAGCGGAAGCCGTCCGTTTTCTCTTAAATTACAAAAATGCCACCGATTTTTTTGACCTGAATCAGTTACTGGGCTGTCTCCCTTAGTTGGGCCGGGTGTACGTACACCCGAATGTACATATAGGCACTGCTTATATTTATACATATTTATTTGAAGGGAAATATTCATACAACAATAGCATATTGTAAAACACAAATACTAAATAGGCGTAAACTACCTTCGTCACTCTGAAATTTATATATTTTCACATTTTAGCTTTAATAGAAAATAATATCACAATACGATTATCACATTTGATAATATTTTTCAAAAGGGTCATGCTTGGTGTACACAAGATGTACACAAAATGTGTATATTGCATGTGTATACAGGCAATTGAGTATCAAATTCTTCCCTTTTCTAAAGGAATTGCCTGTGTACACAGGCAACTAGGGGGGTTTTGTGTACAGTTTGTGTACAACTCATGTACACTAAGCATTTTCCTTTTCAAAATATCAACGATTACTAAGAGGTGTGAGGCGTGGCAACGCATCAAGACTCGAGTCTAAAGCTTTGTTAGTATTATACGGTTCGTGAATAATACAATAATACGTACGTTCGTGTATAATACGATACAATTATATAAAATACGGCTAAATATATGTTTCATACGTTCGTGAAATGAATAAAGATACGAACGTGTTTTAAACGTTTTACAGTTTAAAAATACGGCATATAATACATGTCTTATATATTAATTTAATGATGAGAAGAAAGAGTGATTTAGCATATGCATTACATTCTTCAACAGTTTAAAATGTACGGAATAGTTTTTCAGATATACGAATTTTAATTCATTGGTACATTAAATAATAAAAATGATATTGCCTATTTGTGTAGAAGTAGAGACATATTTCTAGAGAATAGTTTATATTATTATGACCGTAAATTTGGTGAGCCGCCATAATATTCTTTTCTTTTTGGAGTTTTGGTATGAGTGGAGAATAAGAGTAACAAAATAATAGTACAATAGTAATATAAAAACGAATTATGACTTTAAGAAGCTAATTTATTAAATCTGATGATGACTATTAAACAATTAACGAACATATAAGACATAATATTTTTTTAAGCATTATAAATAGTATTGAGCAGCTAAACATTTCACTTCATTTGTACCACTCCATTAGGCTTCAGTTTAATGGTATTTTTTAATAAAATACGTATCAATACGTACAGTGCGTGTATTATACATTTTATCCTTAAAGTACGTGAATTTTTAAGTATTTTGTGAAAAATTCATAAACGGGAGTATTATACGCGAATTATACGTTTGAGTGTATTATACGTGAATTATATGCGAATAAACTAACAGGGGTCTAAAGCGAGCCTTTGAAACCAAGTCGAAAATAGGCAAAATTGAAGACGTTTGGAATTTTTATTGATCATTACTAATTTACTACTCCGTATTTTATAGTGTTGTACTACGTATATATGAAGAAAGAAGATTAAATACCCAAAAAATATTATAAGGGGCCTAATTTATACTTATTAAATATGTATAATTTATAAATGTATAAAAAGTGTAAATACAAAATGATATATTGTTGTTTTTTATTACTACTTACGTAATATTAAATTTTAGTGTATAGAATTCATTTTAAAGTTAAATCAACTTTTCATTCGCAAAAATAATTTATCTAAACAAGTTACGCATTTTTAAGTTAAATCAACTTTGTCTTTCACTCTCCAATTGAGCAATTTTTTCACGTCTTTTTATTGTACCGGAAATTCTCTGCTTGCCTTGTCCATCCCGGAACGCCTCAACTAAATGACAGACTAAAAGAAGGGTCGAAGGGGCGTAGACGGTGGACGCCTCAACATTTGAGATGGATCCCTTATCGATTTATGAAAAAATTATATTTAAAATGCATTTTATTAATAAAGTACAGAAAAGATTATATGAAAATAGCTAAATGGTGTTCACAGTAACTTCAATCAATATAGTCAGAAAAGTAATATGTGAAAATATCGGGCAGAATCTCTAAATATAAATCTTCTGATTCTTCACTTACAATTAAATGCTAAATCAAAAGTTACGTATTTCATAAAAAAAATTGATGCTTGATGAACCGAAAAACTGTGTAATCAAACAGACTGTGAGTCTTGTGCATTTTGAAATTGAAGCCAAATTGAATCGTAATACTCTCTACCAAGAACTGAATGAAAGCATTACCTTAAAAAGATAAACGGTGGAAAATGATTTTAGGGCAGAGCCTGTCCTCGTTTTTCCTTGACCATAAAAATGTTGAAGTAGCGTGATAGGATATTTATTTACACAGAGCAGACGGGCAGAGGCCAGAGGGCGTTACTTTCAGAACGAAAACATGGGTGGGGAATACATACACACAAGTAACACTACCACACACACACACACACATATATATATATATATATATATATATATATATATATATATATATATATATATATATATATATATATATATACACACATATATATATAAGTATATAACACAATGATCATATCACTCGGGCCTCATAGAATCCGTAGTGCAATCGTTATCTTGAAAAAGGTTTAGATGAAATTTTATGAGTATATTCTTCGTGAAGTGTACTTATATTCACATAGTTTCAGTTTAAAATTCAATCAGAAAATAAATCAAACAAATTATTGAAAAAACAAAAACATTGTGTCAAAATATGTATGAAAACACAGTAATTTTTGCGATTGATTTTTAAACTAAAATTTTATAGACATAATATACACTTCCTAATTTATTTACAAATGATAATATTAAAAGTGTATCTCACCATAAAAAATGAAGATATTTGAACATAAAGATCACGATAAATGAACAAATGCAAACATATCATGATTTATAAATTACAACCTCATCTTGGTTATCGATGAGTTAATTGAAAGACTATAGACGCATGATGACATTTTGGTAATAAAATCAAACTTTTTCAGGTGCAACACTTGATCGTTAATATGCAACAACTAATTTCATTACAAAATAATATGCAATACTTTTAACATTAATATACAATATAAATAGCGTAAAAGTTCATTGTACAAATATTTACACAATAAACATTATTTGTACCTTATCTCTCCTAAAGAGCACTATGGACAAGTAAAAATAGATATGTGCACATTTTGCATGAGAAACTTTTAATATACATACTCTTATGTTTGGCGGGCATAAGTCTCTACCTTCTACCTTTAGTACCATTCAAAAAATCTTTAAAAGCTTCTAGTTATATGTTTGGCATGACAATTTTTAAAAGTTTTTCAAAACTTAAAAGATCTTTTTTGAGATGTTACATGGAGTAACACCTGAAAAAAGCCCGTGACTTTTAGTACGGAGTATTAATTAGTCCTAACAGCGGGTATACCAAACCGATTAAATCAAACTGTCAGCTTTTTACCAAACAACTACCATCTTTTCTCTTTAAGATCTTTTCTGTCACTAAAAACTAACAGTCATGGTTCTAAAAATCGCTCTAGGCGCCCGACCAGTCCCCGCCTAGGCACTAGGCGGTAGTCGGGCGCCCCGATTTTAGTCTAGGCGCTCCGACTAATTGATTTGGTGTCTAGGTGAATTAGTCGGCCGCCTAAGGTGCCTAATTACCCGCCTAGAGCGCTTACTCGGCCGCCTAGGCATCTAGATTCATCAAAAAAATTATTTTGCGTTTTATTTTAGTATTCTAAGAGATATATGTATCTTTAACTCTAACAACGCATATGAAGAAAACTACTAGTTGTAGATTAAAATAAATACTATACATGTTTATATATATATATATATATTCTTAAGTGTTATTATTATTTATTAATAATCATTACGTAGTATTACTTGAAGTTAAGAAGTAAGTATGTATAATATGTTTTTAAATGTGAAAACTCTTATCATTCATGCATGTTAATAATGTGTGTATGTGTGTGTGTATTTTATATATACACACACAACATTATTAATCATTTTATGCAAAAATATTAATAAAACTGTAATTTCTATGTCTCCGATTAATCCCGGCCTAGGCGCCCGCCTAGCCGCCTAGGCGCTAGGCGCTGTGCTGGCGCCCGACTAGCGCCTAGCGCCTTTTAGAACATTGCTAACAGTTATTAAAAAGCTCACAAAAGTATCTTTTCAGCTAGTTGTGCTAAACATACTTTATGAAGTATATCAGGGGCATTTCAATTTTTGCCCCAAAAATTACTAAACTAACATGACTTTTCGCCAATTTAATACTATCAACTATTAATGTTAACTAATACATGATCTGGAAAATTAAATCGTATAGAAAAGCATAGAACCCTGAAGGATTTGTCATTATAAAATTAACGAGAAAAATTTACTTATTCACAAAACACGTTATACGTTCTGTTAAATCACAAAAGTCGAATTAAAATGTTATAAGAAATAGGAAAAATTGAAAATAGTAATCTCAACTATTACCGGTCCGCTAACAATAATTACAACTATTGATTATTTTTGTATAATCCCAACTATATGGACCATCCGCCAATAATGGTCCATGACCGCATGTTACCTGCTCTAACAAGTGAATTTTTATTAGAAATTAAGCATAAAAATTAAAATTTGTGATTATTTATAGGGATTACTTGCTATATCTCTTTAGAAACTATAGGAATTTATTTATAGTCGGTCACGTCGGATCATTATTGGCGGAAGGTCCCTAAAGTTGAGATTATTCTGAAATAATCGATAGTTGAGATTATTATGAGCGGACCGCTAATAGTTAGGATTATTAGAATCAATATTTCCTAAGAAATAACATATAAAAATTAAAGAATTTAGAAAAAATTAAATTGAGTGTGTCAACATCTTCTTTTTTGAGAATCAAATAAGTATATTGCTCATCAATCCTCAAAGCATGTAAAATACAATCAGAGATATGATGACCGTCCCAAATACAAGAACATGCTCCCCTATCAAGAATGTGGGCAACCTGATTCGCTGATCAGTGCACATAATGGACACTTATATTGGCAACAATCACCATCATATGTCTAATATTACTAAAAATAACATCATGGTAACATAACCCCTAGCTCCTCGCGAGCAAGTCCATGCACAATCTGTTGGTATCAGATTCTACAGTTACACTATGCCATCCAGAGTTGACAACCCAATTAACCGCCTCTTCAATCGCCAATGCCTAGCTAATAATGTGTCAACATCTTAAGTTCTAAACCTTAAACTTGGACATGTAGCCAATGTAGGTGAGTAGTGGGCGGGTAATACGAGTAAAACACCAGCAAATCCTGTTATGGGCAAGGGCAAGGGCAAGAGAGTAATTAACAAGAGGAAAACACTAGTAGAGCCTCTTATGGAGCAAGGACAATAACACATGCATGTTCTTGTGGCACATTGGTCTATTATGGCCTATCATAGTGTTAGCCTTATATGCATATTGTGCATAATTACATATTCTTCTATTGTGAAAGTTGGGAAAGTCAAATGGAAAGAAAGAAGAAAACACTTCTTTGCGCATAATTGATAAGTACATACTCTAATTTAAGTCAAGCAAGTTTTAGTATACAACTTTATACTGCTCGAATTGAAACAAGAGTGTTTATTTCAGAAAATAGGCTTCACCTCTCAAGTCGCACTATCTTTATGAAGTTTGGAGGCTATATGCAAAAAGTGAGGAGACTTAAAAGTTAAAAACGACACATCAATATATCAATGGAACCGTTATCATTGATCAATAATGGGAGAAGCTACGTACACAAAAGAGAATAAGTTTTGCTTATTTAAGATATATATAAGAGATGGCGTTGTCAGAGTCTGTATTGTCCCGGCGACAGTTTATCATTGTTTGGCAATTTGGGAAACGGACAACCCCCCATTAGACGTTCGCACGTTACATTGACGTTATCACGTTACTTACAAGTATTGCCTTTGACATCACCGGGCCACCTTATCATTTTTTCAATGATATCTAAGTGCAACCCATTATATATTTATATATCGAACTATTATAATATGAAAATGTTACGTATTTGTTAAAACTATTTTTATTATTCCAAAAGGTGGAATCTCCCACCCCAGGAGCCCCCACCCTGACCCGACAGGATGATGGGAAGGTTAGTCATGGTGACTCAATCAGCAGAATGGCAGTAAGTCCATACACTCGTGTGCACCAGAGGTCCAGCCTTCTTTCAGGTTCTGTGACTTCCACCCGGTCGCTGCGGGGATTCGAACCTTGGTCCATTGTTCCAAATCTCCCACCACTCGACCAACTGAGCTACCCGTGCGGGTTTAAAACTATTTTTATAAAAGTATGAAATAATTAAAATTTGAAGACCTATATGAGTTAAAATAATTAGACAAAGTTTACCATCTTTGATTCAAAAAGTGAAAAATGGCTAACTAAAGTGGGGCGGATGTAGTATAATAATTACGCATCCACATACATTCATGATGCTCGCTTTGTCATTTTTTCAACTTTTTGTTTTTTGTTTCAAAAACTTTCTCACTTTCTTTTTATTGTAATAAATTTGAGGTTCTCCTTAATTCTTTCTTTTCTATACAAATCTCAACCACATAGTTCTTATTTTTCTTAATTGTTTCACATTCAAATCAAAGTGTGCAATTTTGTGTGCACCAATGGCAATATATACAGTCTATTCTTACCTATTAGGAAGTAAAAGAGTGTATGAAGGTTGTAAACATTAACTAAAGAATATTTTTGTTTCTTGACTAATAGTTGAGGGATGTATTTGTTTATTAACTTAAAATCATATGATCCATGATTATATAAAGTATCCCCAATTATCTATCAATAAATATTTACAACTAAAAAATAAAGTAGGAGTTAGAGGAAACCTGAATATCTAGTAGAGGGAGTTAGAGGAAACCCAGAAGGCCCAACAGGCCCAAATCACAGCGCCCAGAGTACCAAGCAGCCCGCACTACGCGCCAGGGGTGCCTTCGGCCCCCTGGCCGAAGGCTCTAAACTCTCACAGAACGGGTTTCTCTAGCAAATTAAGAAACTGGGAGAAAACGGCGAAAACAGTAGCCCTCGGCACTGTGAGCCCTCGGCACCAGTGTGTCATCGGTTGGAGGAGCCCTTGGCTACTGCTCTATAGTCGAAGGCATCTCACTCGACAAGGTATCCGCCTCACATGCGTACAGATCACCGTACCCTGCACAGACGTCCCATCCAACAGTCGCATTAAATGCGGCCACATGCGGCTGCCAGCGCCAACCAGTTGAGGTGACCCCTCGGCCAATGAGCGCTTGACACGTGTCCCTGTCCGGCATTTATTGCTACTATAAATAACACCTCATTTCCTCATTTGTAACCACGCTGAAAACGCCCCGCATTTATAATACACTCTCTCTATATATATTTACTTGCTCTGACTTCTCTCTAAGTTATTCCCCGCAATAACCCTTCGGATATATACCCCCGGGTAGACTATCCATC